CGCAGGCATATATATATATATATATATATATATAAATGAATCATAGAATCAACCAGGTTGGAAAAGCCCTCCGAGATCATCAAGTCCAACCCTTGATCCAACACTGCTGTGGTTACTAGACTAAGTGCCACATCCAGTCTCATCTTAAAAACCTCCAGGGACGGTGAAATGATGTATGTTATTAGTACGATCAATAATATTTCATAGAGCATGTACTTGGTGATATGTTGGGGTTTTTTTGCTTTCTGTTAGTAATCAACACTAGTGTAAGTGGTACATTAAGTCATTTTATTGCTGGAGACTTGCAAGAAGAGTCTTTTATGTACCCATCTCATTCTGAATTTCAAGAAAAATAAAAGTACTTTAATAGAAATGTCTTCATTGCTGACTAATTTTCTGCTCTTTAGCAGTGAAATTTGTTCTTTAATATGATGTGTTTGATATGCTTGTGATATTTCAGAGACACAGCTGATTGTTGATTGTGCCCTAATTTTTCTGATAGGAATGCAAATTGGTATACTTAATGATTTCTGCCAAAAATTATTTGTCATAAAGGAGAAGAGAAAACAAGTGGATAACTTCAAGTGTTCAGCTGTGTAATATGTGACTATATAGTAACATTATGTGAAAGAGATAATGCTATTCTGTGTGTCCAAAACATAACATGGGAAACCACATCATTCTGTTCTGTGTTCAGTAGCTTATCTACTGAGTCAAAGCAATGTATTCATTTTTTTTTCCAGATGGTTTTCAACTTATTTTTCTCTGATCAAGTTATAATTAATGTTCTATGTTTACCCTTCCTACCTTATCCCTTTTTCTTTTACTTAGTTGATTTCTGAATGTTTCCCTTTATTCCTGTGATCTTTTCTTCATAGCGGCACTGTCTCGGTGAAGCTTTGCATAAATCTATCAGCAATGTAAGTGATTTGCACTTACAGCTTGTGAACAGGGCATGCTTGCACTAATCAACCTGCCTATCCTGTAATATTGCTTTGGAGCTTTAGCCCATGAAATGGGAAACATGGTAATATTTGAGAGGAGAACGTGTGCCACTAGTTACGAAAAGCTTGTGTACTGCATCCATTCATCTGTGTAACTGTATATGTATCATTGGGCATCAAACACTGTGTACGTGCTCATAACATAAGCAGCATTTTTATGTCATTGTTAACGCAAGCAAGCTTGTGGGCAGCGCAAACGTGTATTGCAAGAGCTTTCTACAAAGCATGAGATTGATGCTGTATTATAATTTGCAGTTTTGCAGTGCAAGTCTTAATTGTAGCCAAAATATTCTTTCTTTCTATTTTATTTTTAAAATTCTCACTATTGTTTTTAATGCACTGAAAACCATGGGTAAAAGTATTGGAAGTTCAGAGAGTAGCGGTGAGAGCTGTTTTCTTTTGAATCCTCAAAACAGGGGTGTATAGAAGGATTGGTACAAAGACATGCAAAGGAAGGCACTAATGTTCTCAAAAGTTTTCTCTTAAGGATATGTGTATGTACTGAATAATCAAACTAATGTTGAAAATTATATGGTCTTCTAAAAAGACTCAGATTTTTAATTTTTTTTTTTACTTTTGAACAACAAAAAAATTATTAGATGGGTAGACTTATCTGACTTGCTTGTTAGAATCATTTAATCCTCATTGTCCTTTATTTTCTGTGTAGTCTGTTGATGCAAATAGGACATCTCCAGACATTGACTCATTTCAGGTTGTGGTTTTGCAGTCATTTTAATCTGATGGAAGTATGAACTGCTCTTGCGTATTCCTGGTCTCTTCTAAGATGGCTTCCTGGCCAGATGTCAGACTACTCTTGGTCATCTCAATTAAAATATTTTCTGCATTTACAAGAAGGAAATTAAAAGAAAATTGTTTTACCTTCGGCCCATGCTCAAAATGTTTATAAATGGTATACTAAGAATTATCAGAGTTTGGAGCAGGAACTTAAATGAGAGAGAGATTTAACTTCAAGCCAAAAATACATTTTTTTTCATGTAATCTTAAAAATTTGGCTAAGTTACCATGGTTGACTCCATTTGAATATTATCATGAAAGGCTTGTTAGAGTGTGGTGATTAAATGGCCTGAGGTTCTGCAGGACCGAGCAGGAGTTCCCCTAGACTTGTACTTCCTGGTGTGGCTGTGGTGAATGGGCCAGGACAATCGTGAGAAACTTGAGGGACATGAGAAACATGGTGAAAAAGACAAGTAAGAGTGGGCATAGCATTCGTCTAGTGAATGTGTCTCAGTGTTCCTGCTAAAGGCACTTGGAGGAGGAGGAACAGGATGTGAGTGAAAATTGTGGAATTTCCTTCAGATGAGATTTTTAAACCGTAATTTGTGTATAAATTTCCCACTTAGTGCAATAAATTGAACTGGATAATCTCTTAAGCCTATCCTAAGTGCAGATTCCTACGATACTAAAAATGGAGTTAGAAAGAAGAAAATGAGAAAAGGAGGGGAGGAGGAGGGGAAGAGATACTGGAGTATGGGATAGATGAAAGACAAGGAATAGAGGTTCTAGAACCAAGTTGCAGTTGTGGTCTCAGGGAAACAAACAAAAAAAATCCGAACAAACCCGAGAGTTTACGGATGGTGGTTAAATAAGAACAGAAGTAACCTAAAGAAGCATAAGTTGTCTAAAAGTACAGGGGAAAAACAGACCTCCAGACAGGGTCTGCGTTTTGCTAGGTGTAGTCTGGAAGAGAACCAGGAAATAAAGGCAAGGCTTACAGATGAAGAGAAGGACCCAGGTAGGTGTGAACTCTCAGAAAGGTGGGGAAAGAGAGAAGGGCCCAACAGTGAATGTGGAATGAATTAGAGTAGATGGAAGTTGAGGTAATATAGATTATTTTTTCTTGGAGAAGGAAGACAATAGCACATTGCATGACTAGAAGATGATGCATATATGAAAATTCAAAGCTGGCCATGCTGGCAGTTGCATGGTGCAAACTCACCACATCAGAGGAGTAAGTTTCTAGGGGTAAAGAGAAAAAAATACAGTATGTGGTTGAGTTGTTATTTTTTGAAATGCTGTCTGTGGTGATTTGTCTGACTAGCCTGGCAACCTTGGCCATGGTTGCTGAAAGAGATCAGCCAAGAGCTTCTGGGGCTTCTGAGGAAACTAAAATTCTGCTATACAAAGAAGGGAGGAAGGTTTTGTATTGATAAATATCTAGTTGAAAAAGAGGTATTAAATAGAGTGTTACCACAGTGAACAAAGATTCTCAGTGGAGTTAAACAGATGTGCGGCATATTTTCTTTTGCAGGTTGTTGATAAGTAAGGTGGGAAACTTTGCAGCTTATATAAGGTTATTCAGGGTGGGAAAAGCACTGAAGAATTATAGAATGGCTGTAAAAAGACAAGGGACTTGGCAATAAAATGGAAGATGAAATTCAGTGTAGATAAATGCAAAGTGACACACAAGGGAAAACAAATTGTAACTTCTTGTGTAAAATTATGAGCCTTACCTTGACCTGTTACAACTAGAAAGTAGGTTTGGGGACTACAGTATATAATTCTGTAAAAACATCACCTCAGTGCTTTTTTGTTCTTCTTGTTTTACTGCTAATTTTTATTTGTGTAGCTTTTTTGTTTCAAATCTGCTTCAGCTGTGTCCTTCTGAAAAAAACTAAACTCGTGTTTGACAACAATGTTTATGCTGCAAGTTGTACTTGGTATGCTGCTATCAATTTTTCGTTAAGTGGTGGGTACTAATGTTCTCTAATGCAATAAATTGATGTGCAATGTCGTTATTAATTTGTCATAATTAGTTTTACGATATGCTGAATCAAATGACACTATCAGACTTTAATTTATAATTCCCTATTATGTAATGCTCTGAGGCTTGAAAAGTATCCTTACTGATTCAAATTCTTTGTCACGGGGCAATTTTATTTTCCTTCCTTTGAGTCACTGTAGCAAAATTCTCTTTTGGTTAAATCTTGTTTCCAGAATTGGAGAATATCTCTCCTGTGTTTAGCTCTAAAGGGAATACAAGTTTAGTACTTTCAGTCTGAAAAGATGGTATCTGATGTGCAGAACAAAGTATAATATTATTATAAAAATAAAATTAGGTTTTTCGAAGGAATACAGTGTTCTATATTACTTGGATGAAAAACATCATTTGTAAAATCAGGTATTTCTAAGAAAATGAGTTATTTGTGATTCAGAATGCTTAGATCTTAGATCTTGAAAGCAAGCATAAAAATCACTCTCATAGTCTTACTGAGCTAACAAAGAAGTGTTACTTTTTATTTGTGATCCAGAATGTTATGATACCATTTCTTTCTAAATGAGAAAAGTACCAGTAAGATAGGACCATAATATATGAGATTACCTCAGCTGGTTAGAGCCTGGTGCTAATAACACCAAGGTTGTGGGTCCAATATCCCTATGGGCCATTCACCTAAAACTTGGACTCGATGATCCTTGTGGGTCCCTTCCAACTCAGAATATTCTGTGATATATCTGTGATAAAGGATACAAAAATCCATCAGTGTAGATGTCACAGGCTGTCCTCACCTATCCAAGCACAAGATTATCCTTGGAGAATGAATGTTCCCCTGAAGAATAGTTTAACAATCAAGTGGTTGATTTCAGACCTTGATAGTGTCATTTTTATTGATCTTTTATATAAAACCTAGAAATAATTTTTGAGAATCTGGCCATGAAAAATTGTGTTACAGGCAGTACTCTAGTATAAACTAACCAATGTGATAATCCTTACAAAATCATTAAAATGTAGTTATTGTATCTCTGACATATAATATTAACAGCAAATTCATACATGGATGACATTGCTTGTCTGTCTTTCAGCTAACAGTGGCTTTAAAATTTCAAGTGTTTTCTTCTTTTGAATGTTTTCTTTACAGTTGATTTTAGTATTAATGACTAACAGATATTTGCTGTTCTCTTGTGGATTAGATCTCCTTACTGAAGCAGAATCTGGAGATGCAGCTTTCCCAGTCACAGAGCTCTTTACAACAGCTACAAGCCCAGTTCAGTCAGGAGCGACAGAGGCTGACTCAGGAGATCCAGGAATTAGAAGAGGAGCATCAGCAAAGGCATAAGTCCCTTCAGGAAGCCCATATCCTTGCCTTTCAAAACATGGAAGAAACAAAAGAGCAAGAACAAAAGGCATGTTCATATGGTTATTCCAAATTCTATAGAGAATGTTGCCATTGTAGCATTTTATGTACACAGTTGGAATTAGTAAAGAACAGTATCCACGTAACTACTAAATTTCTATTTCAGATTATGTATTACAGTAATATTGTTATCCAGTTAAATCTGAGCAAGGCATATTTAAAATCATCTCTGACATTAGCATTGTTTCATATCTTGCTTTATATGCATGTATATAGGTGGGTGTATAAATATATATATATATGTAAAATTATTATCAACATATGTATTTCTTTATGGTAGTTTGACATTGTTACCCTTAATAGTATACTCTAAGAATTTTCTATTGCAGTTACTTAATTTGGCATGTATTTTTTGTCAATTGACTCCTTTTCAATGTATTCTATATTTTCATTATGTTAAAAATTGTATAAGCTATGTTCTGCGACTTGCAAGATAATTTTCGTGTCTCACCCAAGATATTTTTTTAAAACCTTGACTAAAACATCTTTAAAAATGAAAGTTGGCAGTGCATGGTACTTAATGAGGGGATGTCTTAAGGTTTTTTAAGTTCAGATCTAAAGTGCACTTTTGCAGTCAGTTTTCCCGTTAGCCACCCTTAATGTATTTTGGTTCACATTATAGACTGGTCTTGGAGGACGCAAGGTGGATTCCTTTTGTTCAAAATCAAACCAGAAGGTGTGCAGCAGGAACATTATGCTTCATACAATTCAGTAGGGAGTAAACGTGGGTGTCCTCAGGGAGCAAAATCTCCAAATGTGTATTGTGTGCACACTAACCCCATCTATGGATCTGCACTTCATGACAGTGCTTGCTATTATACATATATCCATAGATTGGTTTTTTAATCTTTTCCAGCTGTGAGCAGAACAGGGCTTTTGTGTCCAGGTCATCTTGATAACCATGAGCCACTGAAAAGAGAAATGTAGTAGTAGGATAAGAAAATATGAGGTAAATTAGTGCATTTTTAAAAATTTCTAGAGTAAGTCAATGCCTGCTTTTTGTTTTCAGTTGTTTATTGTGTAATATTTTAGACTTTTTTTAAGTTTGTATAGAATAAATTCTGTCAATTTTGATTTCGTAGGAATTAGAAGAACGTTTACAACAGAAGCACTCAGAAGAACTTCATGCACTGAAAGAAACACATAAACAAGCCATGGAAGGCTTTAAATTGGAGATGGAACAGGAACTTCAGACTCTACGATTTGAGCTGGAGGATGAAGGAAAAGCTATGTTAGGTATACTATTTTCAAATTTGAAAATGGGTTAAAAAACTTTATTTCTACTCATGCAAATATAGATGCACAACTATATGTGTGTATGTGTGTGTGTTATAACACTATAGTGTATCTGAAAGTCATTCAGTGTTGACCTAAATGTCCCTCTTAAAATCAGTATAAGCATTAACAGGTAAGTCCAAACTGTTCACTTTTGAAATATCTCACCCTTATCCTATCTTATCTAGTTTTTTTTGGAAGAAGTAAGCCACCAAAGTTCCTGATGGAGAACATTTCAGAAAGTAACAGGAATAGAATGACAGGACAATTGCTTAGCTGGTGTAAACAGAGTGTGTTAGGTCAGCCACAATACTAGAGGGAGCTGGACTGTTATTGTAAATGTAAAGATTTCCAAAATAAACTTTTCTGTTTGTTCCCGGTAACCAGCTTCCTTGCGCTCAGAGCTCAATCATCAGCATGCAGCAGCAATTGACCAGCTGAGGCACAACCATCAACAAGAACTGGTAGCTGCCAAAATGGAGCTCGAAAGGAGCATAGAAATCGGCAGGCGACAGGTAAGGGGCATGGCTGGCAACTGACTGTAAGACGGCATGATCAGTGTCTGTTTTTCTCTTAGCTGGAGGAAAGAACTGTTGTGAACAAACGACAAACATGTAATCCTTCCAAGTTACCTGACACCAGCAGCTAATGCATTCCTACCAGTTTCCTAAACTTTCTTGCTTAGCATTTTTTTCCTTCTACAAACTTCATTCGAAGCCTACTAAAGTCTCCCGTATCAAGGCAGTTTCCTCTCAGAAATGTGCAGCCGTCTGGGAGCACAGTGGCTTGCTGTGGGATGCAAGTGCCCATTCTTGCAAAATTGTACTTATCCTCAACTGCCAGCAGGACTTAAAAGGAAAAAGCTGTTTCTCTTTGAAGTCTAAGTGATATGGAAAAAAAAGTGGTTGCTTATAACCAACCATGATTGTTTCAAACTTAAGAGGTATCTGTCTCTTTTTGTCTCAGTAGCCAAATTAGAAAAGATTAATTAACATATAACGAAAACAGAATATGATGTAACAGCTTGCAACTATTTCTTAAAAAAATAAAGGCACAAAAAAAACCCCTAGAACAAAACCCCAGAGACAGTATGGACTACCTTTGCTTTCAGTAGGAAATTAATTCGTTCACTTTTACCTTTCATTTTCATTTTATACACTATTAGTTTTTCCACTGGTAACTAAAAATTCAAAGTTTAATCTCTATTGAGAGGAATCCAGACTCTTGGAAGTACAAGGACCAGAAAACTACCTCTTTATTTGCCTACACAATAGGCTTTTCAAGATAGATTTACTAGTAGTCCAGCACCACGGAGGAGAAGTAGTTTAAGAAATATATTTAAAAGAGTAAGCAGGCTTAGCTGGACATAGCCTTTACAGAAAAACAGAGGCAGTCAGAGATGAGCCCTTCTTTATCTCTTCCTTGCTGATTTAAAAGTGTTAGCACTAGAGCCAAAAATGTAGTACTGTCATGAAGGATTTAGGAGGATATATTTTCAGTCATGTGTTGTTTAAGCCTAGAGTCTGACATCTAAAGGAGATGTCAGAAAAAAAAGTTTAAATTACAAGAGCCAGTGTTTGATCCAACCACATACCCTGTACTTTTGGACTCAGTATAATGATCTGCTAAGCACAAGCTCGAGTTGTACTGAGGGCAAAGCAAGTAATTGTGTTTTCTTGTGTTAGAATGCTTATCAGTTCACAGGATCGGAGTTGAAATAGATGTAGAGTAGTCTACTTTTTGAAATATTTAAATATGTGGATGTAACTTTTCCACTGCTTTTTCCTATAACTTTAACATAGTCTATATAGAGAGAGGTAGATAGTTATTTTTAATGGTCTGTTCTTAAAGATGCCCTGTAAAATTTGTGCATTGGGATATATTTGTATTTCCTGGAGACAGAAAGGCACAAAACACAATTATACCTAAAACTACTTTGAAATATCTACTGATTTTCTCTCTGTACAAACTATATGGTTATTAATCATTCTGAAACTGTAAGAAGTGGAATAGGTGGAAACAGAAAACTCTGGAAAAGATGGTTTTCATTACAGACTTTTCTTAACTGATGAGAGGCATTATCAAAGCCAGTTAAATGGGCTCCAGATGCGTTTCCCAGATATTAACTTTATTGTAGTTTCTTATGTAAAAAGAATGACTTTTATTATTGAAAGCAATATAAATATTACATAAACTATTTAGTACATATTCTGCTGCAAAATATTTATGACCCTTTTATATATTTGTAAGATAAGAGACCTCTGAATCAGTGTTTGTTCGTGCAGGGCATACATCTTGAGTAATTTTCTCCCATTGAATGGGTCTGTAAAGGAAAAAAAGTTTCTCTGGAGTGTATGCTGACAAGGCAGAAAACGCTAAATGCCCGGGCCCCTGGTTCTTAGCAATACCTGTTTTTTTTGTTGTGTGTGTGGGCAGAAGGAAAATGTGATGAGCTACACAAATTTTAACTGGCAATGACAATGACAGGTTTTAACTTTTTTGGCAAATGGAAATTGCTTGTTACATAACTCTTATTTCTTCTTTCTTTGCACTTGTACACAATAAAAAAGAACCCCTTCATTTTAATTATAATTTGTATCAGCATCTAAAACTGAAAAAATTGTATATTGAATGGAAACTTCTGCTCAGCTCACAATACAGAAGCAAGTATTGTGCTTCTGAGACACAAGTCTATCTAAAATATTTTTTATATTTAAATGCTTTATATTTATATATAAAATATAAATATTTTATATTTCTTATAGGAGAAAGAATTTTTATGCCGAATATCAGATCTGCAAGATGAACTGAGACACCGAGACCATCATATAGCTGAATTGGACAAAGAGATTTTGCATCTTCATGAAAATATAAGTGCATTGACAAAGGAATTAGAGTTTAAAGGGAAAGAAATTCTTAGAATACACAGTGAATCCAACCAACAGATCAGGTATGAATTTCTTCACTCTAAACTCAAATGTGTATTGTTTCACTTATTGTTTTACCTATGAAATTTTACCATTTGCAATTCTTAATTTATCCTCTTAATCAAGTGATGTTATATATCATTTAGTCTTCTTTAGGAAAAGCTATTCCTGCTAGTAGTAAACTTAGTGAATATTACCATAAACGTAAGCTGCATTTCAGTGATACATTTTGGCATATTTTAGTAACAGTTTGCTCAAGTGTTGGTTTTTGGTGTTTGTTTTTTTTTTCAAATTCATTATGTTTGTTTATTTAAAAAAGCATTAAAGGAGATGCATTTTCCATGAAATAAGCTAGAAGATTGGAGAACAGTAAGTAGTGGGTTTGATGAATGAGTAATTCCTTCTGATTTGTTTTCTGATATTGTGTAAAAGCCATTAGAAGCATGGCAGAAAATCATGATGAACAAACAAGTCTGATTTTAGAATAACTCTTTTTTTAACAAAAAATAAATTAAACAGGATGCATGAGCAAGATTTAAGCAAGAAACATGAGAAAGAGCTGGATGTCTTGACAGCAGATCACATCAGAGAGAAACAAAGCATGCTGGCAGATTTTAATAAGACCCAAGAGCTGCTCAAGGAAATTAATTCAGCTTTACAGATTTCGTAAGTTTTGTTGCATTAAAAAAATTTGTATGTAGCTGCATTTGAGTGTATCCATAAGTTCCTGAAGATTTTGCAGAGGTGCAGATGTACAAATACCTCAATCAAGTATGGGGCCCAGTCTTGCATTCTTTAGGCAACACAATTCTGTAATCTTTAGGGGAATGTAGTGAGATAAATTGTTAGGGGTTTGAGACCAAAAATTTCAGGTAGGGAAGATATTAAATCTGTGCAAGTCCTAGAAAATTGGAGAAAACATTACTTCAAATATTTTTTTCTCAAACTTCAATACATCTTTTTTGAGAACACAAGAGCTTCTACAAGTTTATAAACAGTTTATAAAATTTGCTACTGAGAAGTGAGATTATAGCATGAGTAATGCAAACATTTTCAGGTTTGCTAAGAAAAGGAAAGTTAGTGTCTGAAATGGATTGTATGAGCATAACATAAAGAGAATACTTAGTGTTTCTCATAGTCAAAATGCCACCTGAGATTAGACCACGTCTGGGCAGAAGTCATGTTAGTATGTTGTCTAGCTACTGTTTTCCTGTTTTTCACATCATTCTGTATCTCTGTGATGTGTAACCAACTTGGTCACAGTTTTCATACTGCACTGAGGGCTTCCTGCCACAAATTTGTCACTGAGGGATTTGTATTTGCAGCACAAAGGATTTATGGCAGAGAAAAGAATTGGTTCTAAGTCTTCAAAGTAAATATCAGTTAAAAATTAACAATAAAGCCCAAATGCATCTAATTTTTTCTTGATAATGAGCACTCAGAAATTGTCCTCACATAAGATGGGTATAAAATTCTAGTTCTCACTGCCTTGTAATCATCCACATGCACACTGTTATGCCCTGATAAATGTGGTAACTTGCCATTCAGTAAATTAGATGTAAGCTACTTCCTGTTTGCTGCATTTATTTTGTATGAGAAAGGGACCTATGAGCACCAGAACTAGGCTTTGGAACTGTCTACCCTAGGTTTTTTTCACATTTAGTTGTTTGCTTTGGAGTGTCCAGAAATTTTCTGAATTTGCTGGCTCCTTACTCCTGGTTCTTGCTCAACTTAGAGCTGCAAGGAAGCAGCCACTGGCCTAAAGTCAGAAGCATCATCCAGGATGCCCTGACCTGACTTCCAATGTATCTCTCTGCTTACACTGAAGCAAGAAGCTGTCCAAAGAGGAAACTATGTAAAAAAGCAAATAAATTAAAAAAAAAAAAAAAAAAAGGAGGAGTTTTACGTAGCTATTTCTCAAGTAACTGTTTCCAGGTTCAGCCTCACCTAAAGCATGGCCTCAAGAACTTCTGTGAAATGGAGAATCTTAAAATAATTGAGAGTGGATGTCATTAATCAGGCTGTGTAACTAGAGTCCTTAAATTACAAATTATCTATTTGAAATAGAAAAATAAACCCAGTTCTTTGAAGTATCTGAAAATTAAATGACAGCTATGCGTAACTATGTGCTATACTCTGGAGATCTGTATACAATAGCTTAACCCAGCATAAAATGTATACACAAAAATTAAGCCAGCTGTGGCTATTTCTGTTCTGCTGAGTCAAATGCCTTCTCTGCAAGTAAAAACAGTCATGTTGTTCTCATTCATATTGTTTTATGTAAATACATTATATAATCTCATCAGAATATGTACAGGTTATTTGAAGGTTATCAATACAATTTAATATTAGCTGCATTTTCAGTTGCAAATCAAAGTAAAAGTCATATAGTTGATTTTGAAGAGAAAATATTTATCTAAAGTGAGAAATTATGTCTACTTCCAAGTGTCTTGTGGAACTAAGTTTGACTTGAGTTAGATGATTTAAATTCATAGATTTTTCTCAGCGTTTGATTGGGATTTTTTTTCTTTTTTCATTAAGTTTGTTAAATTTCCTGAATCTGTTCTGAAACTTGGCTTGCTAGTCTACATGAGGGCTGAATATGTGAGACAAGTATTTTAGTATTTTCCTTGGAAACAATGTTTAGCGTCATGAGCATTGTATTTGTTTAAAGGAGACACGGTCATTTGAAATTGTCCTGTCTTCAAAACTTGTTCTTTAAGTAAAAAGGATATTTGTGCAGTTATTTGTACAATTCCTCTCAGTTGGCTTATTTCACTTCTCTCCTTTAATGCTTTCCCACCAGGCATTTCAAATTTCTTCCTTTTTTTTCAAATGTTTATCAGTTGTTACATTTCTCTTAATCTAGATATCCTAATATCCAAGTGTTATTGCTTTTGTTTTGCAGCTCATTCCTTTATTTCATCTCTAATGGTACTAAGTTGCTTTTGTGGAGAGGAGTTAGTTACCTGTTAGTCTTCAGTGTTCTTGGATATCTTTGTTCCAGTATGTTCCACATGAACTGAGGAAGATGCTGCCAGCTTTTTCTGTCTATCCAGTTTCTCCATTATCACAAGCATGCATCTTTATCAGAGTAGTCTTCTTTTAAAATTTAAAAAAAAAAAAAAGATACTGTTGTTTTTCCTCATTAGGAAAGTGAATTGCCACCTTTTTAAATGTACATTAATATTAAATATAGTGCTATGTAGTCCCTATGTTTTACATAAGAATTGATTTTAGCTATGTCTTCTCTCCTGTCCATATTGTGGTTTTGAATGCCTTATTTTCAGGCTGACTTCCAAGAGGCCTTTTTCAAATACATAGTACTGCATGCACAGGAAGGATGTTAAGTTTTTAGAATTTTGCCCAGATTATTAGTTGCTGGAGAAAAAGTTATTGTTATTGGGGTTTTATGGGTTTTTTTGTTTCTTAACTGTCTAAAGCTGAATGAGAACATAGAAATTAATTTCCTTCAGGACGATAAGAAAGATATCTTCTGTTTTTACTCCTTGAACTGTCTTTTGTACTAATCAAAAATGCGACTATTCACTCATCATTTATCACTGGATCAGGCTAAAGAGGGTATTCTTCTTTTCTATAAAGTTTAGAAGAAATGGAAGAAAAATATAAAAACAGAGAATCAAGACCAGAAGACTTGCAGCTTATCTCAGAACTGAAAGACCTAATTGCAGAGCGGGACCAGCTCATAAAGAAATTGATTGTAAGACTTCTATGCTCTCTTGGTGTAATATCTTGACAGATACAAAAATTAATCTAATTCAGAGTGTTTGAAATGTGTATAAAGAACCAATCCTGCTAGCATGTTATTCATATTCTTTAACGCATTATTCCTGTGGTTCCAATTACTCATGATAGTAAAGCTAATAAGATACAGAGTGTTTTCCACAATCAAGCATAATACATTATTACAGAAATATTTGGGTGTGTCCTCGATCAGATGTCTTCTGTCTCCAGTCCTGGAATAAGCCGGCCATGTAAGCCATATATGAAATAGTCTCTTCTGTGAGATTTTTAAGGCCAATATCCTGATCCACTGAGCTTCCCAAATTCAGAGCACAGCACCATTACTCGGGCTAGTCTAATTAGATCTTAATTAAGAAGCAAGAAGGAATGAGGAAATTAAAATTAATTAAAGATCAAAAGTTAACTATACTGAGTCTTTCCTAGCACATAACACATTAGGCTATGCTCACTCTCAGGACCGTACAACTACAGAAATAGAAATTATTTAAATTATGACATATAATAATATATAAAACATGAAATGCAATTTTTAGAATTACCAGTTTATTTTAAAATGTAAGCATAAATTTATTTGAGAACATTTTATAGGCAGATTTGGCCACTAACTGATTGAAAATGCATAAAAAGAAGTTTCTATTTGTTGTTCTTTTTAGGAGGACAAAAAGTTCTATCAGCTGGAACTAGTTGACAGGGAGACTAACTACAACAAAATGTTTAATACAAGCCCTAATGTTGGTGTTATTAATCCATTGGTGAAGGTATGTTCCATGGACTTCATTGCTAAAGTAAAGAAAAAGACATCTAAACTTAAGATACAGTAAAAGGAAGAAATATATGTGTATGTGTGTGTGCCTGCATCTGTACATAAATCACTCTTAAAAGACATGTTCAAAACAAGAAACATAGTTTTCCATTTGTCTCTACTTATTTCTGTGTAGGTTTGTTTCTTTTGTGTTGTTGAGAGATCCACTGATGCTGTTGCCCTGGTTTGCTTGATGTATATGACGTAAAACACAGTTCCTTCTCACAAAACTGCAAAATCAAAATTGAAAAGTGACAGAAAGGCAACAGAGGGCAGAACTGTAGCATACAATAGAAAGCAGTGACACCCCTAACTGTTTTTCAGTTTCATAATTTTTCTTGGTTATTTTGGAAAGTGCAAGGGCACTTAGCAATTTTGAGAAAGTGCTCAGGATGGAAGAGCATTAGAAATACAGAGGGACAGGTGACACTAAAAGGAAGGGAATAAGGGTAAAAAGTGGAAGGGGAAGAGTGTGAGAAGGACATAGGATAAGTTTGAATGAGGAAAGGTGTAGAGTAAGACTGGAGCACTGGAGTGACAAACCAGGTATGGACAGTGGAGGCAGCAGGAGGCAGAAGTCAGTCTCTAGCCTTCTCAGTTGTTGTCACCACCTATACAAGTCAAAGCACTTCAGTAGCCACCTTTTCCAGTTCTCTCCATCCTGCTGAATAGCAGCCAGGGAAGGCTACTGTACGCATAGGCATAGTAGCCTTCCTGTCATTTCAAATGCCAGCAGCATTCCATCATGAGGAACGTGAATAGACTGTAGTAAGGTACCTTAATTCTATTTCTTTTCACCACTTCAGGAATAAGAATGAGTCCTCTGACATTTCCTTCCTCCTTGTGATAACCCATGGGTTATTTCACCTGCATGGAAGGGGAATAGATTTTGTCCCAGCTGTAGAGGCAGAAGAACTCTGGAAGGTTCTGAAACAGGCTAACCCAAGGGGCACAACATGAGCAGTTCAGATGCCTGAGTGCTTTAGTGATGAGGGTTCAGGCTCCCATTATTTAAAAGGAGTTCTGGCTCCACTATTTGGGATCAGGCTGTGCTATTTAGCCAAGCCTTATTGCAGTTTCACATCAGATCAACGTATTTCACACTTCTGCACAAGCTCAGCTGCAAAATGTCAATATTCTCCTATGATTTTCAGGAGCCCGGCAGATCTCACAAGCTTATCTGTGGATGCCCAATTTTTATCCTAACTGCATAAAAGAACTTAGTTCAGGCCCAGTAGAGACAATACCAGGACATCCAGATACAATTTGAATGCTTTGGTTTTATAAAAATTTTGGAAGTTGTCTGAACCATTCATTTATAAAGATGTGAAATGTAACCATCTAGTATATAAGCTTGTTTTGTGTGAAATCTGAAGTGTTTGGCAAAAGTACTTTTAACATCAGATTTCTGTAGTGATAATTCATATATTTTTATAATATGCTTCTATCACTCAAAACTGTTTAGACTTTAAAAGTGTCTTGTATGCCAGAACATTCTGACCTCTCATTTCATGAGTCGTGGACTATGTTACTTTATTTTGTCAAAGCATGTGCTGTGTTATTGGAGAATGAATTCCAGAGAAACTGAAAATCTCATTCTCTTTTCCTTTTTTAAAAGGAAAGACAGAATTTATGAGTTACTACAGGCTTTGCATATTAATACAAAATTACAGCCATTGCAGTATGTATTACTGCTTCTCTAATTTATGCAATGGATCTGTTTAGTGTTATATTGTTACATCTGAAGTTTCTTAATACTTTGCATGAATTTCATGGAAACAATACACACAATTTTCTCTTTCCAGATTTGACCACTTCAGAAGCACAGATTTTTTTTTTATAGAGAATGTTATATAAATTGCAGTATTTTTCTAAGCACTTATGGGGATAACTTATATTTTCCAGAAATGGGCCACCTGTGGAGCACACAGATTTAACTACAGTTTGTTTAACACACTGTTTCAGTTACAACGTATATTGCCTTGCAAGTGTATTTTACGTGCAGTTGGTTACTTTTACCAAACTATTTCTTCCATCATAATATTTCTTGCTTCTTGAGCTACTAAAGCAGAAGTGTATGGGACAATCTTAGTTTAATCCTTTGTAGCTGATGATCTTTCATTGTGATGCCTAGAAAAGATTTTTTTCTATTATAGCATTTGGTTAAATTGTTGAGGGTTTTTAGTTATATTTTGACAAACACATCCACCAGTGTGGCTGCAATTAGTAGCATTTGCCTCTGCCAGCCCAGAGAGGCTGGGCACTGAAATCAAAGCCAGCAGAGAGCTACAGAGAAGAAAGTGCAAACAAACAATAAGACTCTCTGTCTCTATTTGAACTTGCGCCCACCCTTGAATAGAGCAGCTCTCCTGTTTCAAGTGGAATTCTGCCGGAAAATGTAATATAGAAACAACACAAGATTGCACTCGTCTTTCACTTCCGTTCAGATTTGTGTAGTTCATAAGCCCTTAAGGGTTCTTCTCCTAGCTGCCTTGTTAGGGTTGCATGTAGGTAATTGAAGGAAATTATTTATTATATATTCAAATAATACATAATTCATTATATTTATGAGGTATTTTTTCATTGCTCTGGGTATGTTAAAAAATCCTATTTTTAGAAATGAGATGCTTATAATATTAATATTTTATTGTGGATGTGGAATATTTGATAGAAGTCAGAAAATACACAAGGTTTCTTGTCACACAGCCATTTTAAAAAAAAAAAGCTATAGAATTATTTGAAACATCCTTCTACATTAAAACATCTATAGAGAGGTTGAATACTGACTTCTTTGTGTGATGTGTTCTGGAATGTAGAATAGTGATATAAAAATAAATTTCTTCAGTATTTTGAGTCCCTTGAAATGCTATCAGGAGAAGTACAGAGAGTATTACAAAAAGAAAAATGTTCAGTTGTGCCACCTGGTGTCCAGAAGTGACAGCTGTAACGGCATCAAAGCCTGGCTTTTTCCTTATTCAAGAAACTGAAGTCCTGTACAGTAATATTTATATCTTCAGCCATATTGCTGTAATGCTTGCTGACCATGAGGGTGTTGATTACTGTGAAAGATATCAAGAAAAGTTTTGAGTAAACATGAAAGGTTTAGCAGACTGAGAGGAAGTTTTCCACAAGATTGTCAATGTCCAATGTTTAAGTAGAGCAAAATGTTATATTGAAAGACCTCCTATGACATACTCATTGATTATTATGCTAAGTCACAATAATTTAATCATCTTGATCAGAAATTTGATTTTTCTGTGAAAATCTGTGGCGTTCAGGTCTCGTCAAAGCAAACAGGATAACTACAATTGGAAAAAGGGGCCAGTCTGTCACAATCTCTCCTTCAAAAAAACCTCCAAACCAGCCATCAATAAAACTTTTAAGTTTGCCAATGTCCTCGTCTGTCCAGGTGCAAGAAGGCTTCCTTACATTTGTTATTTTTAATGCAGCAAAAGAAGAAGAACGATAAATCAACAAACAGGTTTGTGAGTGTCCCCAATCTAAGTGCTCTGGAATCTAGCGGAGTGGTGGGCAA